TTTTTCCAATTAATAGAAAAGTGAGTCCCATGCTGAGCTTTGGTTGTGGTGGGTTCTACATGAAGCAATATGTGCAAATACAGACTCAGAACATTTCAAGGTATGGCTCACAAAAACCAACATCCATGAGTCCAAGGATTTCCAAAATTAATGACCTTTATTTCCCTCTTTCCTCCTGACACATGCGAGCCACCCTGGGACCTATGTTTCTGTCTAAAGCAAATGTAGAACTTATTAACAATGTAAGGTGCTCTAGGGCCCTTCACCATGGCAGTAAAGCCCTTGCCGAAAACCAGAACTGTTTCCTTTATACTTGAATGGATTAGATCGGTTTGACTTACTTTATATAGTCCTGAATTCAGCTCCACTGACATATGGATGCTTAATGAATATTTGATGGCGGTGACCATGACTGCATAGAAGACATCCAGGGTCCACAGGAAAAGGGTAAAATAGTTTACTCTCCAAGTCTAGTCTCTTGTGTAATAAGCTTGTATCAGAACAGAAGAAGGGTCGCGCCTTGTCACGCATGGTACACGGTTTGAAGAAAAGACCAAGTAACAGGGAAAAGCACAAGAGTGAGCGTTTATCACCAGGCATGTGCCCTGAATTTATGTAACATCTATGCTATTTAATCTAATCCTATAGGCTAAATATTGGGAATGTAATCTTCCGGAACCTAAAATGTGTGCTGGTCAATAACTAAATAAATAGAATGTGTGTTGGTTGCAAGGCGAGCCTTAGTTTTATGCACTAATAAACCAATACAACCCATAAGATTATATATGCCACAGTAAGATGTACCCTAATTTGAGAGATGTGACAGTGGGGAGTGAGGGGATTCACATCGAAACTATGATCCTGAGAAGAAAACATGCCCAAATAACAAGGTCACATGGTGGAGCTGTGGCAAAGCTGTGGCAGACAGCTGTGGCTAGCTGTCTACCAAAGACCTGCATTCCTCTTCCAAAGAGTAGACTTCCTGCTAGAAACCCCTACTAGTCAGGCACCATGCTTCCCCCTTCCTGAGTTCTGACAAAAAAACAGAAGATGAGCAGAATTCATGTGGTTACTTTGAGGCCAACATGGTAAAGAAGCACCTAAATGTTCTCCAACCCTGTGTTTCTCAGATCTACTCTCTATGTTGGTGGCCGGGAAGCTATGTGTCAAATACAGCACGGCCACTGCATCAGCCTGGGTTCCTGAATGACTGCAGGGAGCAGAGCCCAACCCCCAATCTTGCATCCAACAGGGAGGACTGCGACATGAGCAGTAAATTAACTTTTATTGTGTTAAGCCCCTGTCATTTGTGGCTTAGCTGGTAACAGAACTAGAATGACTTCAACTGATACAGCAGCAGAGTCAGGATTTGCATATCATGCCCCAGAGAGCCTGAGCTCATTCTGTTACACCACACCCATAAAACACTCCACATTCAGCCCCCCAGAAAGAAATGGAAACAAACCAGCTTATTTTGAAAAGGGTTTCATCATTTAGTTTGGGTAGAAATCAACATATGTAGGAGGTACACTTAAATTTGTGTATGCACGATAGCACATGCAAAGGGGCTTCGCAAAGTGCATGGGAAATTTCCATGTTGTTTAACTCCTTTTTTCCTATCAATTTTTTGGAAGCCCCTTCACATGAGAGGGAACAATGAAGAGTGAGTGGGTCCTTTTCTGAGTGGGAGAAGTGACACTTTCATGTAGTCTCTTCTCATTCTTCTTTCGTTTAATAGAGGTAAAGGAGGCCAAGGCAGGTGGTGTAACCCTGGTCTGTGACTCTACTACTAGACTTACAGACGGCGCTCTTACTCCAAGCGAGGGGAGAACGGAGCAGCTTAGCAAGTGAGGACGGGGAGATAGTAGAAAGTGGGAAGGTCTCTATTCAATAGATGACCAGAGATTGCTCAGGACTTCAGACAACCACCTCACCTCTCTGTCAACTCTGCATCCATGAAACGGTATGGTACTAGAACTTGGGTGGTGCAAACAGTTCTCTGCTGCTAAACCCAAGGTTAGATGTTCCAGTCCACCCACAGGTACCTGGGGGGTGGGGGTGGGGGGCCTGGGGACCGACCTCCAAACAATTGGCCATTTTAATTTGCAGGGAGCACAGTTCTACTCTGACATGCATCTGACTAATGATTAATGGTTTTCATTTCAGTAACTGCTTATTAAAAAACACAAAAATGTCATAAATCTCTAAAGGAGTGCAAATTTGTCAAAATGTCGCATTAGAAATATGTGTATTAAAAAAAGAAATATATGCATTATGAAGGATATCTGAGCTCTGAGGTAGACAAGAAGATGAGAAAGAGCCAACCACTATTCTCTATGCCTGGGGTGTCAAAGTCAATCACAACGTGGGCCATTTGGTGCAACAGGCAAGATTCACGCGGGCCACATCACATTTACAAATGCTGTTAAATTTATATTTTGAAGTGAGGATTCAGGAATATAGACAGGATAATTAAAACACTATGTAATTGCTTCTATTTAAACGTTTATTTTATTTAATGTATTTACAAAACTGAAATTATTCTTTTTTACCCGAAACTTGCCAGCGCTTTCCTCCTACTAGTTTTCACTTACCTCTTCTGTTGTGATGGAAAATATAACAAAGTAACTAATAAAAAACACAAAATGTTGGAGAGCTGACAAACGTGATGAACAATCATAACGGCTTCCCTCTACAAATGTTAACTCGCGCTGCCGCGAGGTACGATTCACAACAGCACAACCCAGAGTGCTCTTTTTAACCTTTTCGCTATTGGGATCTGTTTACATTACGTGACACTGAGAGTGGCAGCAGTATCGCCTCCAAACGTCGCCGGAACTGAGTGGGCGTGTTTATACACGTCCCCAGGCCCCGGGGAAAGGCACTGGGCCACATGTATCCTCGTCTTCAGTAGTTAAAGGGTTAACGAGGGCATTGTGTGTATGGTGTGGCCTCCATCTCCCCTAAGCGCTATTTTCTTCATAACAATTTTTTCTATTTTCATTTTATTTCAGAGCATCGCGGGCCACAAAAAATTCCCTCGGGCTGCATGCGGCCCGCGGGCCACCCGTTTGACAGCCTGCTCCGTGCTGATTTGGGTTCCAGTGAGAACCCAGCCACAGCACAGGCTGGGCAAATGGTAAGCGCCTGCCTTTCCTTGGGGCCAGTGACCTTGAGTCCCTTCCCCAGCAGCCCCCAGAGCTCATCGCTGCGGGCCACCACTTCCCCATACTAAAGACCTCCAACAGGGGAAACATCCATTTCAAAACCTTCTGTTAAACTTCCCTTCCAGCCAGCATTCCCTTCCACCCACCCTCCCTCTCCCACCCCAAAATGCAGAGCAATCTGTGCCAGGGAACAGCGACATTTCTTCCCGTTTCTTCAGAGAACTGAAAGGTTACCCTTGACTCCACTCAAAATGGGCCAAACATTAGACCAGAGACTTGCACCAAAGGGCTTCAAGCAGTCCACAAAAAATGGAAAGAAAGGGAAGGGGATTTTCCACCCGTTTTTTGGAAGTGCCCGTGTGCATAAATGTCAGTAGTGGAACGAGCCACCCTTTTGACTGGCAAAGGGTGGACAGAAGCCTACTCTATTTCTCTAGGACATTTATAAAGCGTTATCTTCACCTGGAGAAGAAACGGAATGAAAAATAAATGTCCAGGGAGAAGGGGTTTTTAAAAGGTCCCACCTCACAGTGGTGTTTTGAGAATTAATAATTATGAAAATTAAATCCATGCAAAATAGCTGAAATAAGAGCACCCACTCAAGGCTGGCTATTAACATTCTGGTTGGCATGGTCCCTTGCCACCTTCCTGTTACACTCGGCTGCAAGCACTTAGGTGTGCCTGGCCTGGAAGGCACTAGGCCCCAACACCAAGTACAGCGTCTTTCAATAAAGGCCATCTTTAGTGGGAAACCAGTTGAGGCTAAGATGCCTGAGGAATGTTTCGCTTCAAAGTGAAAAAAAAATTGTGCTAACATGCCTGGAGGGAACGATGAGCGGAGAAAGCCTGAAAGTATGTTTGCTTTATTTATACACTTATTTACATATATAAGTATATAAAATATACTTCCCACACCCGCATTCATCTTATTACTTGCATAAAAACGGCACCCCGCCCCGCCCCATTTCACAATGTCTGAAGGGCAGAAAAGAAGGTAGCATTAAGACCTACCCTCTGCTTTTCGTTCGAGCCCTTTTTGTTGCTCTCCTTTCTGCTTTCATCTTCGTACACCAGCACGAAGTCGATCCTCCGCTGGCCATCATTGAAAAAAAGGGAATCCGGCTTCCCGTTAAATTCTTCCTACGTGGAATGAAAGAAATAAAATGTAATATCAGTTTTTGGAAAGAAAAAGAGTCCATGTACAATTGCTTATATCCCGACGTCAACAGGTTGATTGGTATATTCACAAAGGAGAAAAATATAACCACTGCTAGTTACTTAACCAAGGGGTCATGGTCACGATTACAAACATGGCTTTCCTGAAGAAAGGAAGTCCCTGAACTGATCAGTGCCGCGTGTTTGGCAATCACTGGGCATATAGCAGAATTAGGTATGGCGGAATTACCCCACAATCAGTCCTACCTGAAACAGCAAAAGTAGCACACTGACATTGGAAAAGGAGACCGTCAAACAGAGATATCTAGCGTAAGTTTATTACACAAGAAGAAAAACTTCTGATAAAGAATCACAATGAAACGCCAGTCCCTGGCCACTGTAAATATGACTCTGGATTCCCTGTCAATAGTAACTCTGTTTCATTTTATTTTTTGAAGATATGGAGAAGGAAGGAGTTAAAGTGCCCAATATTTCCGGATGGGTGCTTCTCTCAAACACAGAAGACTTTGACATATAAATGTCAGTGTTATAATTTCTTGAATTAATACGATCCATCAAGTGTGTAAAATAGTTCATTTTTCTTGTTTTCCAACCCTACCTCTTCCGAACCTGGAGAACTAGAGAAGGAATTTTCCTGAAAAGAAGAAAGTGGCTACTGGACAATTTCCCAAATTACATATGCAAAATCCAATATTTTTACTAAGTAAAAAAAAAACCTTGAATAAAAAGTTCCCAGTGTTTTCTGAGCTAATGGGGCAAGCAATACAGAAGAACAGAGGAGGGAGAAAGTGTAAGATTATGTAAACGGATTGGGCACTCTTCTGGTCTGCTCTGTTCACACTCAGTGGTGGTGGCTGGATCCAAACCATCAGCCATGTCGTGCGTGCGGGAACCGCTTGAGAATGACCATTTGCTGTTGTGCGGTGTCATCGAGCTGGTTCTGACTCGTGTGACCTTACGGACCACAGGACGAGATGCTGCTCCATCCTCACAACCGTGATGCTTGAGCCCACTGTGGCAGCCCTGTGTCAACCCATCTTGCCAAGAGTCTGCCTCTGTTTCACTGCCCCTCTGCTACACCAAGTACAATGTCTTTTTCCAGGGACTGGTGTCTCCTGAAAACACGTCCAAGGCAGGTACATGTGTATGTGAGATGAAATTTCGCCATCCTTGTCTCTAAGGAGCATTCTGGCTGTATTTCCAAGGCAGGTCTGTTTGTTCTCCTTGGCAGTCCCTGGAACTTTCAACACGCTTGACCAGCACAGTACGTGAAATGCATGGATTCTTCTCTGGTCTTCCGATTCGATGTCTAGCTTTCACCTACATTGGAGGCGATGAAAAACACCACGGCTTGGGTCAGGCGTACCTTAGTCTTCGAAGTAACATCCTTGCTTTTGAACACTTTTAAAGAGGGCGTGGGCACCGGGTTTACTCCAGCCAAGTGCACTTTGACCTCTTCACCGCTGCTTCCAGGAGCACTGACTGTGGATCCAAGCAAGACGAAGTCCTTGACAACTTCAATCTTTTCTCTGTTAATCATGATGTGACCTACTGATCCAGTTGTGAGAACCTTGATTTTCTTTACATTAGGTTGTAATCCGTACTGAAGGCTGCAATCCTTGCATTTCATTCTTCTTCATTGTAGTCCAACTCTCTGATTATTGCTCAGTACACAGATTGAATCAGTGTGACTAGAGGGCACTACTGCAAAGCACACCTTTCCTGATTTTAAACCATGCAATAGTGCTTACTGTGTTCACACAACTGCCTCGATTCATGTACAGGTTCCACATGCATCCAATTATGTGTTCTGGAAGCCACTCCTTTCTTAAGACTATCCAGTTTGTTATGACCATTAAGATACAACTAACCAAAGACTCAAAGAAGAACACAGTCTATAGGATTAATAGTCTACATGAAGCAGGACTTCATTTACCCTGAAACCAGAAGCACTAGATGGTATCTGGCTACAGGGATCCTGTCCGGGGCCACAACAGATGGCCCCTGATAGAACGGAGAAAAAATGTGGATAGGATCTTAAATTCTTTTAAAAATCCAGACTTGCTGGACCGATTGATGCTGGTGTCATTCCTGAGACCATTGTAATACTCTTTAGCCTTGAACAACTAGCCCTGATGGTCCTCTTTTAGCTAAATAACAAATTAACTCACCAAAATTAAGAATAGCACCCACAAGTGGTGAATGCTTCTTTAAAAAAAATTATCCATCTGATGTTTCTCATTCATATAAATGGTCAGTGGCTTCTTTAAAGCAAATAGGAGAGATAGAGAGAATGATGATGCATTGTGAAGAATGTAGACAAGGTCAAAATGGTTGAAGGCCTTTACAGCACTGTGTATAACCTTCACTGAAAGCTCAATTCTGTATTATTAAAGAATGAAATAAACAACAGCAGCAACAAGGCCCTGACACAGGATTAAGGCTACTAGCAAGCTTTTCCTAGACACCAATGCTCTCCCAGGGTCAGAGCGTTGTGGCCTATGCACCCAACAGGACATCTGGAGAAGCAAGTATCACAGTTATAACCGATGGGATGACTTTCATATTACATACATGTATGCTTGCCACTCACGTGCTGAACGGAGCATGTCACTGTGGCTCAGTGCACAGTCTTTGTAGCCAGACTGCCTGGGCTCGACTCCTCCCAAGTCCACACTCGGTGGCTCTGTGATCCTGAGCAAACAATTACCCTTTCTGAGCCATAGTTCTTCCCAGTCTTAATATGCTAATAACAGTACTACTACTTCATATCTTTGTTGTAGCATTTAAGGACATAATTCAAGTAAAGAGACAGTAAAGTGCCTTGAATAGATTAAATAAACCATAGCTATGATTCATATTGATCTTCCGCTATTCTCATCACACGTTCATTAATTCATCCAGCATATTGTCTACTGCATCCAGCTGATTGTCTACTGCATGCCAGGTACTGAGCAAAGCCCTGCCTAATAGTACCTTTGGTGGAAATTGTATTCTTAGGTAAACACAGAGATATCACACACAGACACACACACACACACACACACACACACACACACACAGAAAACATTCCAAGAAGAGGGACCAGCTGATACAACAGTCTTAGGCTAGGTCATTCTGGGCTGTGATCACAGCAGAGCGAGGCAGCAGGGTGGTGACAGTGTGGTAGAACAGGCAAAGCAGGACAGAGATGAGACTGAGGAAGTAGACAAGGCCCAGGTTATGTAAGTCAAGGAAGGCATTTGGAATTTTAACTTGAGTCTTGGGGAGTTATTACCAAAACCAAAATCACTGTCAATCCAGTTGAATCCGGTTCAAGTGACCCTATCGGTTAGGGTAGAACTGTATGGATGTCCGAGACTGTAGCTGTTCAGAAGGGGAGAAAGACAAGTCTTTCTCCGGAGGGTGGTTTTAAGCTGCTGACTGTGTGGCTAACAGCCTAACATGTAACCACCACGCCACCAGGGCTCCTTGGGAAGTTCAGAGTTCGTTTTAGGTAAGGTTAGATTATAAGAGTTTCTAAAAGTTCCCTTGCATGATGTAATTGAGCAATAAAAAGATTTCCCTAACCCTCATGTGGGGAGAATTGCAGGAATGTTAAATCCTTGAAGCAGGGCAGCTAGAGGCCATTACAACCGGCTACTTGAGACGGAACAGTGGCCTGGACTGTGGTAGTGGCAATGACCGCAGGGAGCAATGGAGGTCACAGTGTATTTCAGATGTGCACGCAGTTGAAGGATATGCTAATGTTCTATATTGGAAGGTGAGTTAAAAACAAAGACAAAAAACCCACCAAAAACAAATAATCAAGAAGCCACCAGGTTTTGGGCTAAAACAATCAGTGGACTGTGCTGCTGCTGCACAGGGCAAGCGCAGGTCGCAGGAAGGTGGTGAGGGGGGACAAACGAGTATCCATACTAGATGCACTGCTTGGACATCGTAACTATCTAGGTGTCCCGGAGTAGCACAAATGGTCACGCCCTGGATTCCAATCTACCAGAGGTGCCTTGGAAGAAAGGCCTGGCAATCTGCTCCCGAAAGACCACAGCCTTGAGAGCCCAACGTAGCAGTTCAACTGAACACATGGGGTGGCCAGAAATAGGAGCTGACTCGAGAGCATTTTTTTTTAAAGTGAAAAACAGAAGCGATTATATTCTAACTAAGCGTGTTTTTCTCTTGAGATAGAGGATGAAGAATGGGATGATGGGGGCTGAGAAGCTTTCACTACACCTTTTAATTTTATTTCTATTTCTTTCTTTATTAAATTTTATTTCTTGAGACGATTGGATTTGAATGGTTGCCGTCAATTTCTTGCTTGGTATCTGCCCTATTCTTGATAGTTTATCTGTATGGGAAAACTGGGATTGATGGCAACCCAGAGATAATCATGAGATTGATGACTGCCTGGGGACATGAAAGGAGCTGGAAGTGGAAAGGGGAAATCAACATAGATGTATAAAAGAAGGGCGGGGCTACAAAATTGATTGTGACCATGACTGTACGGCCCTTATTGATAGGACTGAGCCCCTGAATTGTACCGTATGGTAACGATCAACAAAGTTCCAAAACTCTGAGCTGAGTGTGGTCCAATAAGAGCAATTAAGTTTGGACAGTGAGCTCAGGGGTCATTAACTCCTCTGTGCGCTTCCGTGTGCTCACAATATTTTACTTTACATCAGACAATCGTGGCAGATGTCTGAAATCTGTACAGAGCCACTGGTTCTCTCTGCACTCTGGAGGGGTCCCCAGGACTCCCTGCCGAGCCCCGAGGATGAGACCTGCAGGGAGGGGAGCCTCCGCTGCCTGGGTTCCAGGCGCTTCCTGCTCGGCCCCTCTCCGCAGGGGGGTCGGCAGCTTGCTCCCCGATGACCCGCACACACCCCTTTCCTGTGCAACGGAAGAGGATGGCCTTGGAGGGAAACCCCACGGATTTGGCCGTAGTTGCGCATGTGAACTAACTAGGT